AGCACAGCCAAAAATAAATAATAATGAAGAAAAAGCAAAAAAAGTTTTTCTTAAAGGGTGATGGAGAGAAAGAAAGAGGAAGAAAAAGGGAGCCAAAGAAAAGAAAAAGGAGAGGAAATCAAAAGTAGAGAGAGAGGAAGATAAAGACGGACAGAAAGAAGGACAGAAGGAAAGGAGTGCCAGGTGACCTCAGCAGATACTCAGGCACATGTGAACTGCCTCCTTTTACTCCTTGCTGAAGAGCACTGGGAAATTCTGGGGAGCTTCAGCCTCCACCCTTCTGGATGATCTCAGATGAGTCTCCAGACCTCTCTGGGTCTCAGTTTCCTCATTTGTAAAATAGACACAGCCATACTCACCTATGGCAGGCAAATCATGGAGAGGATCCCATGAGATACCCTCCTCTAAATTAGTATGTATAGATCAATTCAAGTACCATGTCCTGGGAAACAAAAGCCTGACACTGCTTTTATTCTCCAGGAGACTGGACTGAGGGTGGATCTAGAACAGGGTCACCAATCTCCCCCAAATTAAAGTAAGAAGTGGTAAGTGCCATAGCAATAAGAGTGAAGGAAAGCTTCAGAAGGCTTCCTAGAGGAGGCTTTGAAGCAGGGCTCTACAGGATGGGTGGAATTTGGATTTGGATATGCAGAGAATGGGGATGGGCATTCCAGAAGAAGGGGAGTGGGTGAGCAAAGGCAGGGAGAGTGGATTTCAGCCTGTGTGTAGGGGGATATGGCCAGATAAACAGATTGGCGAAGGACTTCTTAGGGTGTTGGGGACTCTCTGGCCTGACGAGGCTAGGCTGGAGTTTCTGAAAAAGGCTCTGTTATGACTACCCCTGAAAAATTTATATGCGTGCATGCTCAATCACTCAGTTGTGTCTGACCCTTTGCGACCCCATGGACTATAACCCACCAGAATCCTCTGTCCATGAGATTCTCCAGGCAAGAATACTGGAGCAGGTTGCCATTTCCTCCTTCAGGGGATCTTCTTGACCCAGGGATTGAACCCATGTCTCTTGCACTACAGGCAGATTCTTTACCACTGCACCAACTGGGAAGCCCATTTTAATTATAGCAGCACCCTTTCTTCCATCCCCAAGTTCAAAACCAATAAGGGCTACTGATCTACCTCCAACAAGAACAGCACTGGGACTTCCCTGGCAATCCCGTGGTTAGGACTCTCCGAGTTTTTATTGCCAAGGGCCCAGGTTCCCTGGTCAGGGAACTAAGATACCACAAACTGCTTAGCGAGGCAAAAAAAAAAAAAAGAAAACAGAACTGAAATAGATTATTGGGACCCAGCCATTGACAAAATACATATTGTCCTGGTCCTCCTAGCACACATATGAAGTGTCCTTAGAGGCCACCTAGGCCAGATCCCCATTATATAGATAGGGAAATCAAGGCTCAGAGATGAGAAACAGTCTTCTCAAGGGCAATGGCAGGTAGGTTCCCAATCAATCACCTGAGTCCTAGTTTCCCATCTCTCTCTGTTGTCTCTGGGAGCTCTGACTGGCCCAGGTTCCCCTACCCTGACACCACCTTTGCAGTTTACAGGCCTTTGCTGCTTTATTCTCCAGCTGCTGCAGCCACTTCCACTCCAGGTTTCCCCAAAGAGCCTTACTGAGACCAGTTGCACCTGTTTGGCTCTAGTGGGGAAGGTGGCCAAACTCTTGAGTGGTTCAAGGGTGTATGTGTGCATTTACATGTTTGCCTCTTCCAGCAAAAACAAAGTTCCATCCACTCTGTCATTACACATTTATTAGCCGGCAATGGAGAAACACCTTTGTTTGTTTGTTTTAGCTGCGCTGCCCAGCACGCAGTGTCTTAATTTCTTTTTTTTTTCTCTCTTTATTTATTTTTTTCATTTATTTTTATTAGTTGGAGGCTAATTACTTCACAACATTTCAGTGGGTTTTGTCATACATTGACATGAATCAGGCATGGAGTTACATGTGTTCCCCATCCCGATCCCCCCACCCACCTCCCTCTCCACCCGATCCCTCTGGGTCTTCCCAGTGCACCAGGCCTGAGCGCTTGTCTCATGCTTCCCACCTGGGCTGGTGATCTGTTTCACTATAGATAATATACATGCTGTTCTTTCGAAACATCCCACGCTCGCCTTCTCCCACAGAGTCCAAAAGTCTGTTCTGTACATCTGTGTCTCTTTTTCTGTTTTGCATATAGGGTTATCATTACCATCTTTCTAAATTCCATATATATGTGTTAGTATGCTGTAATGGTCTTTATCTTTCTGGCTTACTTCACTCTGTATAATGGGCTCCAGTTTCAACCATCTCATTAGAACTGATTCAAATGAATTCTTTTTAACGGCTGAGTAATATTCCATGGTGTATATGTACCACAGCTTCCTTATCCATTCATCTGCTGATGGGCATCTAGGTTGCTTTCATGTCCTGGCTATTATAAACAGTGCTGCGATGAACATTGGGGTGCACGTGTCTCTTTCAGATCTGGTTTCCTCAGTGTGTATGCCCAGAAGTGGTATTGCTGGGTCATATGGCAGTTCTATTTCCAGTTTTCTAAGAAATCTCCACACTGTTTTCCATAGTGGCTGTACTAGTTTGCATTCCCACCAACAGTGTAAGAGGGTTCCCTTTTTTCCACACCCTCTTCAGCATTTATTGCTTGTAGACTCTTGGATAGCAGCCATCCTGACTGGTGTGTAATGGTACCTCATTGTGGTTTTGATTTGCATTTCTCTGATAATGAGTGATGTTGAGCATCTTTTCATGTGTTTGTTAGCCATCTGTATGTCTTCTTTGGAGAAATGTCTGTTTAGTTCTTTGGCCCATTTTTTGATTGGGTCATTTATTTTTCTGGAATTGAGCTGCAGGAGTTGCTTGTATATTTTTGAGATTAATCCTTTGTCTGTTTCTTCATTTGCTATTATTTTCTCCCAATCTGAGGGCTGTCTTTTCACCTTACTTATAGTTTCCTTTGTTGTGCAAAAGCTTTTAAGTTTCATTAGGTCCCACTTGTTTATTTTTGCTTTTATTTCCAATATTCTGGGAGGTGGGTCATAGAGAATCCTGCTGTGATTTATGTCAGAGAGTGTTTTGCCTATGTTCTCCTCTAGGAGTTTTATAGTTTCTGGTCTTACATTTAGATCTTTCATCCATTTTGAGTTTATTTTTGTGTATGGTGTTAGAAAGTGTTCTAGTTTCATTCTTTTACAAGTGGTTGACCAGTTTTCCCAGCACCACTTGTTAAAGAGGTTGTCTTTTTTCCATTGTATGTCCTTGCCTCCTTTGTCGAAGATAAGGTGTCCATAGGTTCGTGGATTTATCTCTGGGCTTTCTATTCTGTTCCATTGATCTATATTTCTGTCTTTGTGCCAATACCATACTGTCTTGATGACTGTGGCTTTGTAGTAGAGTCTGAAGTCTGGCAGGTTGCTTCCTCCAGTTCCATTCTTCTTTCTCAAGATTACTTTGGCTATTTGAGGTTTTTTGTATTTCCATACAAATTTTGAAATTATTTGTTCTAGTTCTGTGAAAAATACCATTGGTAGCTTGATAGGGATTGCATTGAATCTATAGATTGCTTTGGGTAGTATAGCCATTTTGACAATATTGATTCTTCCAATCCATGAACCCGGTATGTTTCTCCATCTGTTTGTGTCCTCTTTGATTTCTTTCATCAGTGTTTTATAGTTTTCTATGTATAGGTCTTTTGTTTCTTTAGGTAGATATACTCCTAAGTATTTTATTCTTTTTGTTGCAATGGTGAATGGTATTGTTTCCTTAATTTCTCTTTCTGTTTTTTCATTGTTAGTGTATAGGAATACAAGGGATTTCTGTGTGTTAATTTTATATCCTGCCACTTTACTATATTCATTGATTAGCTCTAGTAATTTTCTGGTAGAGTCTTCAGGGTTTTCTATGTAGAGGATCATGTCATATGCAAGCAGCGAGAGTTTGACTTCTTCTTTTCCTATCTGGATTCCTTTTACTTCTTTTTCTGCTCTGATTGCTGTGGCCAAAACTTCCAACACTATGTTGAATAGTAGTGGTGAGAGTGGGCACCCTTGTCTTGTTCCTGACTTCAGGGGAAATGCTTTTAATTTTTCACCATTGAGGGTGATGCTTGCTGTGGGTTTGTCATATATAGCTTTTATTATGTTGAGGTATGTTCCTTCTATTACTGCTTTCTGGAGAGTTTTAATCATAAATGAGTGTTGAATTTTGTCAAAGGCTTTCTCTGCATCTATTGAGATAATCATATGGTTTTTATCTTTCAATTTGTTAATGTGGTGTATTACATTGATTGATTTGCGGATATTAAAGAATCCTTGCATTCCTGGGATAAAGCCCACTTGGTCATGGTGTATGATTTTTTTAATATGTTATTGGATTCTGTTTGCTAGAATTTTTTTAAGGATTTTTGCATCTATATTCATCAGTGATATTGGCCTGTAGTTTTCTTTTTCTGTGGCATCTTTGTCTGGTTTTGGAATTAGGGTGATGGTGGCCTCATAGAATGAGTTTGGAAGTTTACCTTCTGCAATTTTCTGGAAGAGTTTGAGTAAGATAGGTGTTAGCTCTTCTCTAAATTTTTGGCAGAATTCAGCTGTGAAGCCATCTGGTCCTGGGCTTTTGTTTGCTGGAAGATTTCTGATTACAGTTTCGATTTCCTTGCTTGTGATGGGTTTGTTAAGATCTTCTATTTCTTCCTGGTTCAGTTTTGGAAAGTTATACTTTCCTAAGAGTTTGTCCATTTCATCCAAGTTGTCCATTTTATTGGCATAGAGCTGCTGGTAGTAGTCTCTTATGATCCTTTGTATTTCATTGTTGTCTGTTGTGATCTCTCCATTTTCACTTCTAATTTGGTTAATTTGGTTCTTCTCCCTTTGTTTCTTAATGAGTCTTGCTAATGTCTTAATTTCTTAACCAGGGGTGAACCCAGGCCCCCTGCAGTGGAAGCAGTCTTAACCACTGGACTGCTAGAGAAGTCCCGGTTGGTCTTTAGAGGATGATGTCGTGGGAGCAAAGAACTTGGATGTCCCTGCAGGATGCTTTGGAAGAGCTTTACAGCTCTGCCAGGGAACCTCCTGAAGCGGGGGATGGGGGGGGAGTGGGGGGCGGGGGCAGAGGCAGTCTCAGGAAGAGTGCCTCCTCCTTCAGATCAGTCTCCAAGGACCATTTGACCTGTGAACTCTAGAAGTCCTGAAAACCTGACTCAAAAAATCTGTGATGCAGAGGACTCTCGAGAAACTTGTTCTCCAAGTGGTGTTTTATATTCCAGTAAGAGTTTGATTTTGGTCTAGAGAAGCTGGGCTTCCCAGGTGGCACTAGTGGTAAAGAATCTGCCTGCTAGTGGAGGAGACACAAGAGATGCTGCTTCGACCTTGGGGTCAGGGAAGATCCCCTGAGTAGGAAATGGCAGTCCACTCCAGTATTCTTGCCTGGAGAATTCCATGGGCAGAGGAGCCTGGTAGGCTACAGTCCATGGGGCAGCAAAGTCAGATGCGACTGAACACACACACAACTGGAGAAGCTTAGTAAACACCTGCCGGGGTCCAGCCTCGGCAGGATCCAGGCGATACCCTCAGGATGAACGGCGTCGGCGAGAGAGAGGGAGAAGACACGTGAGACCAGCCTTGATAGGGCCAAGTCTGTGTTTTACTTTTTGACAACAGGTTTTATACCCTTACTCAGAACGTTTTCAAGGTACAAGATGCTTACTCATGCTTACACAGGATTAGTATTACATCATTTTGTTTTTTAGGAAAAGCAGGATGTTTTTTGCTTTCTAATTCTATAGTAATTCTTAGCACATGATCTTCTGGCCTTGGGGCTTATTAACATTTTATGCAGGTCAGGTGAATGTAAACCTATTTTCCGTTTCTATGGTGACCTTAACTGAAAGGTAGCAGTCTCATAGGGCAATAGTACAGAGTAGAAATATAACCTTGTTAATACAAAAATTAATCCTTCTGCAGAAGTTGTCAGTTGCATTTATCTAAGAAGTTTACCCCACACTGACTCTGCGACTTTGGTGAGGCAGCTTCTGCCTAGCACTCCTGGCTGACAATTAACAACCATCTCATTGTTACCACACTAGGGCTAAGTTCTTATTTCTCTAGATCTTTAACTATATTAACAATGGTTTCTATAACACAACTTTAGCACATTAAAAGCAAAAACACAGCAAGCAAACGTCAACCCAATAACCACCTTTAGAATAATTTTTCTTATGTTTTCTAATAGGACTCCTTCACCCCTCAAAAAGGCTCTATGTCTTATTAGGGCTTTTATATAATTAGGTCCTTTATGCTATTTTATGATTAGTATAATATAAGCAATCATGCATATTAGTACCAAGGGCATAAATGCATTTGGCTAACAAACTACCAGCAAAGGAGTTTAAATTAAAACACTCCTTTCACCCTGGATAATCTCATAAAATACCACCACCTGGGAAACTTATTGATTAAAGTTCTAAATTGATTCTTATTTGGGAAGAGATGGGGGAAGGCCTTCTGCCTGTGTCACAGAAATTATTGAGGCAAGCATCAGAAAGACAGATATCATTTTTAAGGTGAGCGCCGGGGGCAGCTTTTCGGAATCCCTGAAAACCTGATCAGCCTTGCCTGTCAGGCTTTCTCCTCGTGAACTTGTCATGGGTGGGATCTCGTGAGCTGGCCTTTTCGAAACCCCTGAAAACCTGATCCGCCTTGCCCGTCAGGTTTTCTCCCTCATGACTTTGTCATGGGTAGGGTCTCGTGTGTTGGCTTCTGGCAAACACCAAGGAAGATGCTAGGGGTAGTACTTGGCTCCTGAAATTTTCAGTACCCAGATCCATAGGGCAGCTCAATGCTTCAAACTTCAGACCTGTATATCCACCTACCTACTGGACATTGCCTGGATGTTTTGCCTAGATCTCAGACTCAATCTGTCCCAAACCAAATTCAGTATCTCCCTCCTACCACAACTTCCAGGTCTTCTATGTCCTCATTTCAGCAAATGACAAAACTATTTATCTATTTACTCAAGCCAGAAACCTAGGAGTTACCCAGGACTCCCTCTTATCTCCCACCTCCCATATCTAAATTCCATGTTGCCTAATCCAGTAGCAAATTCTGTACTTTTACCCAGGTGCTCAGCTGCATCATATGTCCACTCACTCTGGAACACTTTCCTCTCTTAGTGTCCATAACTTCACACTCTGTCAATTTTCCTCCTACCTCACCTTCTCTTCTCTTGTTGTTAAGTCGCTTGGTCATGTCTGACTGTGCAACCCATGGACTGTAGCCCGCCAGGCTCCTCTGCCCATGAGATTTCCCAGGCAAGGATATTGGAGCGGGTTGCTATTTCCTCTTCCAGGAGATCTTCCCAACCCAGGAATCGATCCTTTGTCTCCCGCATTGGCAAGTGGACTCTTTACCAATGAGTCACCATGGAAACCCTTTTCTTCTTTTTGGCTCAACTGCTAAACGTCAGAGTACCCCAAATCTTAGTCTTACCTACCTAGATTCTTGTACTAGTTCTTCTTGAATTCCCTAACTTCAAGTAGTGTTTAATGACAGAGGCTACCAAATCTGAATCTCTAGCCCTGATCTTGCCTCTAACCCTTAGGCTTATAAATCCACCTGCCAACTTGATATGGGTCTTCACCTTGCTTTGTCTTAAACCACACTTCTGATGCCTCTTGTGTTCAATCCTGCACCTCATCTTCCTCATCCCAGTATCAGTCACCATCTATCCAGCAAGCTACTCAACACTTAAAACCTGCAAGCCATGCTTGATTTTACCCTTTCTCCCATCTCACTAGTTCAAAACCAACAAAGTCTATAGGTCTGTCTCTAGGATATGCATCTACTTCTTTTCATCTTCACCCACCATCAGCCCAGGCCAACTCACCAACATTTCTTGCTGGAAAACTGCAGTACCTCATCTCCCTGCTTCTTACTCTTGCCCTCCTCTGGTTCATTCTTTTTAAAAAGTATTTGTTTCTTTATTTTTGGCTGCACTGAATCTTTGTGAGGGCTTTCTCTAGTTGTGGCGAGTGGGGGCTACTCCCTAGTTGCCGAATGAGAGCTTCTCACTGCGGTGGCTCCTCTTGTTGTGGGGCGTGGTCACACGTGGGGCATGTGGGCTTCAGCAGCTGCAGCACAGGCTCAGCGGTCGTGGTGCACTGGCTTAGTTGTTACCCAACATGTGGACTCTTCCTGGATCAGGGATCCACCTCGTGTCTCCTGCATTGGCAGATGGACACCACCTTATCTTCTTATCCACAGCACCACCAGGCAAGTCCCTCCTCCAGTTCATTCTTAATACAGCAGTAAGAGGGTTCAGAAATACAAAATATGATCATATGGCTCCCCTGCCTAAAATCCTTCAAAAGTTTCCCACATATTTAAAATCCAAAATAAAATAAAATAAAATATGAAATAAAATCGATGGTTGATTGATCTGATCTCACCTCTTTTTAGTTCTCCAACACCACATCCCACCATTCTCCCCCTTGTTTGTTCACTGCATTCCTGCCACACTGGAACTCTTTTTGCATTTAGAACATGCCAAGCCTTCCCTGCTTTAAGTACTGGTGTTCTCTCTACCTAGTACTCTATTCCCCTTGATTTTTCTGTAACGTTTTTAAAAAAATATTTATTTGGCTGTGCTGGGACTTAGTTGCAACATGCAAGATCTTTGACCGTCATTGCAGCATTTGGGATATTTAATTGCAGCATGTGGGATCTACTTTCCTAACCAGGGATGGAACCTGGGCCCCCTGCATTGGGTGTGCAGAGTCTTAGCCACTGGACCACCAGGGAAGTCCCCTATCCCCCTTGATTTATTAATAATTACTCAGGTTAAATGTCCAATTTCTCAAAGACAAGTAACAAAAACAAAACCCTAAAAGTGGTTTGACCAATAAAGGGATTTATTATCTTATATAACCAGAGTTTTAAATCAGGGCATCTCTGTAACCTGTTTAAAAATAAGTGGTTCAGCAGTATTATCAAGGATCCAGGTCCTTTCTATCTTGCTTTGTACCATAGTACTTATCACCATTTGAGACAATATAGTGTAAGAGTTAATCCAGATTCTGAAGCCAAACTGCCTAAATTTGTAACCTGGCTACCACTTTACTAACTGTATTGTTAAATTACTCAATCCCTCAGTTTCTGTGTCTGTACAATGGAGATGATGATTATAATATTAACTACTTCAGAGGGCTGATTTGAGGACTGAATGAATAGCTGTGAGGATTAAATATGTAAAATTGAAACAGCTTCCCTAGTTCCCCTAGAGGATGATATGGTTGCATGGCATCATCGACTCAATGGACGTGTGTGTGTGTGTGTGTGTGTGTGTGTGTGTGTGTGTGTGTGTTTAGTGGCTCAGCCATGTCCAACTCTTTGCGACCCCACAGGCTGCAGCCCACCAGGCTTCTGTCCATGGGATTCTCCAGACAAGAATACTGGAGTAGATTGCCATTCCCTTCTCCAAAGGATCTTCCCGACCCAAGGATCGAACCCTCGTCTCCGGCACTGCAGGCAGATTCTTTACTTTTTAGGTTATAGAGAAGTCCTCACGAGTTTGAGCAAACTCTGAGAGATAGTGAAGGACAGGGAAGCCTGGCATGGGGAAGTCTAGGGGGTCGCAGAGTCGGTCACGACTGACGGACTGAACAACAACCCTAGTTCTAGTTCATTCCTCAGGCTCAGTTTTACCCTGGAGACAGTCTTGTGTCGTTTTAACAAACTCCCCTATTTTAAACCACTCATTTCTGGGGTTCGCCACGAGGCTCCCAGCTCTGTCATTTCGCTTTGGCGCCATCTGGCGTCCCAAAGGGAAGTTACGCGCCTGCGCTCTCCACCCTTTGCCCTTTGTCTCTTCCCCTCGTCCAAATTGGTACCTATATCTTTAAGGTTCTCGGTCAAGACTCAAGAATTCAGGGGCGGAAGCCAAGGAACGCCTGCTTGAAGTCCTCTCAGGTTGGTCCAATCCGGGTAAGGGGAGGGACTTAGCGAACTCCACATAAATAATTGGTCTTTCCTTTGGCTCCGCCCCTGTGAAGCAATCACAAACGCCTGTGATTGGTCAGGGGCTGTGGAGGCGGGGGCTCCGAGCTTGACTCCCGGTTCTCCCGGACCGTCCCGGCTACAGCTTGGTGGGCGGCATGTCCACGAGTGAAGAGACGCGTGGAGGTGCCAGAGGAGAGAGCACTACTGCTCCCGGCTCCTTCAGCTTCAGCTCGGAACCAACGCTCGAGGACATGTAAGCCGTCCTTGCCCAGCCTGAGCTGGGGAGATCATCTGCCCTTACTCCCTCCTTTCGGGGAGGGTCCCTCCACGTGTTCGGAAAAAAAGGCTAGTAGCTGTGCTCAGGTTCTAGTTCGGGGGGTTGACCCCAGGCGAAACTTCTAACCTTCTCCTCTGCAAAATGGGCTTAACTATACACATCTGAGGCAGGGGACATACCGGAGTACGGTGATGCTATTGCCCTGCCTCAGTCCTCCAGGAGCGGGAGGTAGGATGGGAGCAAATGTAGTGTTGAGACGTCGAAGACATTTCTTTCTGGAGGAAATCCAGGAGGGCTTCTTGGGGGAAGTGTCCTGGGGCTGCATTCTGTAAAATCAATAGGATTTAGATATGCAGAGACAGGGTTATTCTGGGTGGAGGAAAACTGCAGAAGCAGCAACAGGAAGTGGAATAATGAAAATGGGGGTATTATTAGATTTCGATAGTTTAGGGTCTGTAAGGATGCACCCATTTTACAGATGAGAAAACCAAATCCTCTAAAAAAGAGATGACTTGTTTAGGCCATCCAAAGAATTAGTTGCAGAATCCCCTCTGACTTGCCTGCTCCCATTGCATCTCACTGAGTACCTGCCAGGGCCCTGCATCTCCTCCCCCATCCCCTAACCTTGGGACCTGGGCTTCTACCCCTTTCTCCCATTCCAGCCGCCGTCTCCATGCTGAGTTCGCTGCTGAACGAGACTGGGAGCAATTCCATCAGCCTCGGAACCTCCTCCTGGCCTTGGTGGGGGAAGTGGGGGAGCTGGCAGAGCTCTTGTGAGTAGATGACAGGCTTTCTGGAAGAGTCTGTGTGGAGGAGGGGAGGGGAGGATTCATTTGACCATCAAATATCCATGGATCCAGTTTCTGCTCCTCACTACTAGGCTCTTCTGTATCTGGTTGCTGGGCATTCAGAGAGATGACTTATGGGTCTGCTGCCCTCTAGGGGCTCCCAGTCTCCTGGGAGAGAAAGGTGTAAAAACAGCAAGGCAGACCCAGGTCTGAGAAGGGGTGGTGGGAACCTTCCTTTACCTCTGCCTCTGGGGTAGAAAGGCTGGTCTTCTATAGAAGGCATTCCAGAGAGGGGGAACCACATTTGCACAGGTAGTGAGATGGAAAAGGGCAAGTTAAATTCAGTGAGAATGTAGGAATTCAGCGATAATGTAAGATTCCTTTAGTGTAAGTTTCTTGACAAAGGGCAAGGATTTTGTATCTGTCTTGTTCTCTGGTGTGTCCCAAGTACCTGACACAGTAAGTACCCAATACATATATCTCTTGTGGCTGCGGAGGAGATGGGTAGGATAGAAACACAGAATGGTAGGATTCGGCTGGGAAGTAATGGAGTTCTGGACAGAACACCTGACCCGATTTGAGTTATAGAAAGATCACTGTACCTGCCGAGTGGATTTGATCCCCTAGGAGAATTGTGTCAGGGGAGATCAGTGAGGAGACTGGTGTAGATGAGGCAAAAGGTGGTGAGGATCAAACCAGGGTAGTCTCAGGGGCATGGAGAAATGAGGGCACAGATGTGTGGGAAGGCAATCCATTCATTCATTACAGGTCCTTGAGCACCGTCTGGGTGCTAGGTCATCTGGAATCAAGATATGGCCTTGAACAAGATGGATACTCTCACAGTGCAAAGAGACTGACAATAAATAAGTGAACTAACTTTAAAAGATATGGAATTGTGACAAGTTCTAGGAGGCAAATAACACGAGGTGTTGAGAAAGAAGGAGAGAGAAGAAAAAGAGGGAGAAGGCTGTTCTAAGGAGGTAACATTTGAGCTGAGACCTGATGGGAAGCATGGGTGGAGGAAGAACATTCAAGGTTGAGGGAGCAGTAAGTGCAAAGGCCCTGTGACAGTTTGGCCTGTTTGCAAGACAGAAGAGGCTAGAATGAGTGGCTTTAAGGCGGGGTGAGAGGGAGCGTGGTGGATAATGACACTGGCAGAGACAGGAGTCATTTCATGCAGAACCTGGAGGGCGTGGTAGGAGTTTGGATTTTATTCCAAGCACAGTTGGAGGAGTGTCGTTTTTATTTTTGACTGTGCTGGGTCTTTGTTGCTGCATGTGAGCTTTCTCTAGTTGCAGTGAGTAGGGTCTACTCTCTAGGTGTAGTGGCTTCTCTTGTTGCAGAGCATGGACTCTAGGGCGCTTGAGCTTCACTAGTTGCAGTGCATGGGCTCAGTAGTTGTGGCACATGGGCTTAGCTGCCCCTATGGCATGTGAAATCTTCCCAGACCAGGGATTGAACCTGTGTCCCTTGCACTGGCAGGCGGATTCTTAACCACTGGACCACCAGAGAAGTCCAGTTGGGGGAGTTTTAAGCAGAGGAGGAATGAAATGTAATTTGTTCTTTTAAAAGATGGTAGGGTAAGAAGAGAAGATGAATTAGCAGACTTTTGCAGTGGTCCAGGTCTAAGGTTTAGTCTGGGGTAGAAGTGGTCCCGAAAAGTGAAATGTCCTCTCCTTGGCTTAGGTAGGGACACAGAGGTCTGGATGAATCATCTGATGAGGTCTCTTCCCCACCATAAGGAGTCCAGGGCCCAGATGAGTTGACTTGTCCTGGAAGAAACTTCCTAGGAGGTGGGAGTTCACTGCTCCAAGGTGTGGGCTGCTCCTAAGAGAGGTGGAACCCACTGTCCTAGCTAGCATCTATGTGTGTGTGCCTGTCTTATGTGTTCTATCCCCAGTCAGTGGAAGCCCGATGAGGAGCCTGGGCCCCAAGCCTGGTCCCCCAGGGAACGAGCAGCCCTTCAAGAGGAGCTCAGTGATGTCCTCATCTACCTGGTAGCATTGGCAGCCCGCTGCCGTGTAGACCTGCCCCAAGCAGTGCTCTCCAAGATGGATATCAACCGGCAACGCTACCCAGCGCATCTATCTCGTGGCTCTGCCTGCAAGTATACAGACTTGCCCCACGGGGCCACCTCTGAAAACCAGGCCGTGGGGCCTACAGACCCTGCCTCTGAGTCCACAGGTCAGGTCTCAACCTAGAAACATGGGCACAGAACCTGCAGCTCAGCATGGCCTCTGAGGAGCAGAGGGTGCCTGGCCAAGGTACCTCATTCTAGTTCTTTCCTAAGAGATCACGGACCTGGGGACTACACTTCTTGAGGTCTAAGGCCCCAGAACCTCCAGAAGATAGCCTCCTGTTTTTTTCTCCCTCAATAAAACTTTCGGTTACAAGCTTCTAGACTCTTCCTGGGGCAGCCAGGGAGGCTCTGTCTCAGTCCATACTGGAGAGGGGCACCCGGAATGGTGAGCCCAACTCCCATGCTTTTCTATTGTACCTCCCACCTGCAGAGCAGAGAGATCTGATTTCTAGAAAGTTCCCTGTCTGATCTCATGTAAGTCCCTTCCCCTTCTCTAAATAAAATCAGAGGCTTTATGTAGTGTTGGATAGGAGCCCAGATTCTGGGGACAGGCTATCTGGGCTCAGATGCCATCTTTGGTACTAGATGATGTTCATTATGGGGCTTCTCAGGTAGTGTTAGTGGTAAAGAACCCGCCTCCCGATGCAGGAGACATAAGACACACAGCTTTGATCCCTGGGTGGGGAAGATCCCCTGGAGGAGGGCATGGCAACCCACTCCAGTATTCTTGTCTGGAGAATCCCATGGACAGAGGAGCCTGATGGGCTACAGTCCATAGGGTTGCAAAGAGTTGGACACGACTGAAGCAACTTAGCATGCAACACGATGTGCATTATATTTTTATCTTTCTGTACCTCCATTTCCTCATCTAAAATGAAAATAATGGTATCTACTTAGTAGGGTTGTAAGGTTTAAGTAAGCTATTATATTATAGATTGCTGGACTTCCCGGGTGGTCCAATGGTTAAGACCCCACACTTCCAATGCAAGGGGCCTGGGTTTGATCCCTGGTCGCAGAACTAAGATCTCACATGCCACACAGTCAAAAAAAAGAAAAAAATGTAGTGTTTAGGACAGTGTCTGGTGCATAGTAGGTAGTTGTTAAGTTTGCAGTTGTTGTTATCAGTTTGCTTTTCAACTCAAAACTGTCAGGGGCCCAGGGCAGGAAATATGTTAAGGCCGGCCTGGGCCTGAGTCCCAGGCCCCAGTCTTGTCCATCAGACCCCAGAGCTGTGAGAGCCCTCTGCCCCTCTCCCTTGGCCCCCAGCACAGATCAGGATCAGGTCTGTCTGGTGTGGAGCAGAACAAGGCTTATTTTCTTTTGGACCTTGGAATACCTAACACTTCCCATCCCACCCCACCCCCACCCCTCACCCCATCACGGCCTTCCTTCCCAAGGCAAATTTCTTTGTTCCACTTCTATCTAAAGGTATTGTTGGGAATGTATGATTCACACGTTGTGTGACCTCAGGCACATCACTTCCTTTTCAGAGATACCTGTGGCCTGCCTCCTTCACCCTGTTTCCACATCAGTGAAATGAAGCCTTTACTGGCCTCAGTCCTCTTATTAATGACCTCACTCCCTCTTAACCAGTGACCTCTCTTACTTCCCTGGTAAGAGAATCCATCAGGTTGGAACTGCTTTAAGTTCCAAACCTTCCTGTCAGTGATAGCAAGAGCTTTATCTTATTGATCTCTTATTTCATCCTGTCTCCTTGATCAATTATCTCCTCTCTCCTCTATATAATTAAGGTCTCTTCCTTTCCATTAGCCCTTCCCACCAGCCCATAAAGCATAATCAAGCCTCTTCCCTATTGATAAGGCAAAATCAACAAAACTCCAGCTACTTCCATCATGATTTTCACAGCCAAGCCACCCATTCTTGCTTCCTTATTCTCTCATTTCTGCCCTAACCCACTCAAGGTTGGCTTTCACCCCCACCCCTTCCCTGGAGGGGCTTCCCTGTTGGCTCAGGGGTGAAGAATCCAAGTGTGATACAGGAGGCGTGGGTTCAATCCCTGGGTCAGGAAGATCCTGTGGAGGAGGAAATGGCAATCCACTCCAGTATTCTTGCCCGGAGAATTCCACAAAGAGAGGAGCCTGGTGGGCTACAGTCTATGGGGTTGCAAAGAGTCAGACACAACACGACTGAGCATGCACACACCTCAACTGAAACTGTTCTCTTTGCTTTCCCTGAATTCATACACACACAGTGGTCACCAGAGCAGCATCTGACAGCTAAATTTCCTCTGTGAAACACTTTCCTCTAGATTTCCCAGACACTTTCAGTTTTCTTTCTACCTCTGGCTGTTCATTCACAGATTCAAGTTCTTGAGTACCCTCTCTGGATGTGGTGCCATAGCTTCCAGACCTGACACCGCTGAGCTGTTACTTCTATCACCTCCCTGACGCCTCCACATTTTTGTGTCCAGACTGGGCTGCAGCAGTGGCTGACACTTAACTCCCGCCCTGCTCCTCATCCTGTGTCCCCATCTCAGTGACACTGCCTGTGGTCCCCCAAGCTAAGAAGTGAAATCAGCCCAACTCTCCCGTGTCCCAGGTCCACTTTAACTCCTATGAATTCTAGTTCCATAATATGTCAGATTCCTCCCTCCCCTCTAATCCCTCAAGGCTTCTGTGTGGCCTCTGAGCCATTCACCTGGCTTTCAATGTCCTTAGTGGTCTGTCTCCTGCCAACCTCCTTGCTTCTTGTCTCTACATTCCACCCCCCGGGGATGTCTGCAAGCTCTAACAAGTCTGCCATGCAGGTTCCGGGGCTCTCTTCATATCTCCCCAACCCCAGCTCTCTTGACTTTAATACCAGCTCAAATGTCACCTCTGAGGGAATTTCCCTGGCAGTCCAGTGGTTAAGACTCCACGCTTCTTCCAATGGAGGGGGGTGCAGGTTCCATTCGATCCCTAGTTAGGGAACTAAGATCCTTGCAGGGCACCGCTAAAAAAAGTGTCACCTCTGAGAAGAGCTCTAACCTCCAAGATTGCACTGAGGACCTCTCCTATACAATAGCTCCACCATCATTGTCCCAGTGACAAGGGATTGCTGTCAGTCTCCCACAGGACTACTGACTGGCTGTCAGTACCTATCTGCTTATCTGCAGAAATAGAGGTAAAGTGAGTTACCTAACTTTGGAATGCTTTGAGGATGAAAATGAGCTAGTAATAATGTAGCACTGAAGGCCTTTAAACTCAGGTGGTGCAGCGGTGAAGAATCCACCTGCCAATGCAGGCAAGTCAAGAGACATGAGTTCAATTACTGGGTTGGGAAGATTCCGAAGGAAATAGCAACCTGCTCCAGTACTCTTCCTGGGAAATTACAGAGCCAGAGGGGCCTGGTGGGCTACCACTGACAAAGAGACATGACTGAGCATACACCTGCACACAAAGTTGCCACTATTGCTTCTCTGCTAGACTGAGTTGCAAGAGGTTCACGCCCACTCACCAAAGTTCTGCAAAATGCATTACCCGTTGATCACGAATGTGACAAATTTATGAACCCTTCTAGATCTGAGTTCATGAAGACAACCAAGGAACAAGTGTACAATGACTCTACACCCACAAACCCAGTTCCTGGAACCCTTTTGGGCTTATAGCCCCACTTGAATCCATGCCGATTCACTTAATTCACCTAAGCCTAGGGAGACCGCCAACTTCCCGCCTCTCCCCGCCCACCTCATTCACAGGCACGGATGGGGTGAGGATATAATACTTTATTCACTCTAACATGGGCCGAGGGGATGTAATGAGGGGGAAGTGGGCACGTTTCCAGGGATCCCGGTAGGGGAATCCTGTCTCCCAGTTCCAGGGCAGCCAGACCTGCCAGTCCCATCCTATTCAAGACGCTGGTGGTGGGGCGGGGAGTTGTCCAGGTAAACGCAGCCCCAGGTTGGAATCCCAGAGTGCCCCTCCCCAGCTGGAGACTCGCACCCCGCGGAGAAGAGAAACGGCGGCTCAGCTGCCCTCACAATCTGGGCAGCGCTCGGTGGCAGTGGCTCCAGCTGGTAGCTTGAAGTCCCGGCCGCAGCCGGCGCAGATATAGAGACGGCGCCGCATATGCGCGCGACGGTGGCGGATGAAGTGCGAGCTGAGGCGGAAGCGCCGACCGCACTCGGAGCAGGGATAGGGCCGCTCGCCGGTATGCGTGCGCGCATGCTCCGCCAGGTTGGAGCGGTGGCCGAAGCCGCGGCCGCACACGGGGCAGCGGTGCGGCTTCTCGCCCGTGTGCACGCGCCGGTGCTTGGCCAGCGCCGAGCTCTGGGCGAAGCGCGTGCCGCAGTCGGCGCAGGCGTACGGCCGCTCGCCTGTGTGCGTGCGTCGGTGGCGCGCCAGGCATGAACTGCCGCCGAAGGCGCGTCCGCAGTCCGGGCACGCGTACGGCTTCTCGCCCGTGTGCACGCGCAGATGCTGTGCGTAGTTGGAGCTCTGCGCGAAGCGGCGGCCGCATTGTGCGCATGCGTACGGCTTCTCCCCCGTGTGGCGCCGCCGGTGCTGCCGCAGATTCGAGGCGGCGGAGAAGCGCTTGTCGCATTCCGGACACTCGTAAGGCCGTTCGCCCGTGTGGGTGCGGCTGTGTTTGGTCAGCGCCGACTTCTGCGAGAAGCGCCGGCCGCACTCGGTGCACGCAAAGGGCCGCTCGCCCGTGTGTATGCGGACGTGCTTGGCCAGTGTGGAGCGGCGTGCAAAGGCGCGGCCGCAGTCCCGGCACGCGTGTGGGCGCGCCGGGTCTGCCGACGGCGCTGGAGCCTCGCTCGGGACCTGCGGGGAGAGGGGGACAGGTCAGCCCTGACGGAGAGACCCGGGAGCCGGAGACCTGGGGCTCCGCCAGCTGCAGCCTCCCCGTCCCCCGTTTGTAGAGTAGTTAAAGCCAAGGGGTGCACCTCTCAGTACTGTTGTGTGCGTCTAATGAGATAATTAGCGCACATATCACAATGCCTGGTGTCGTTCCAGCTATTCTTTATTAATTCAACCAAAACTTATTGAGCGCGTAATGTGCCAGACTCTGTTCTAGGAACTGGGGATTCAGCATTAAATTTTTTTTTTTTAATTCATAATTTCAGGAAGAATGGATAAAAGGGGTGCTGGTACTAGGGGGATGGTGCAAACTTAAATAGGGTTAAGAAACCTCACTGATGTCATCTGAGCCTTTACCTAAAGGGAGGTGAAAGAGCAGCTTCCAGAAGGGAAAAGGGGAAAACAAGGCCCGAGGCAGGAATTTTTCTGTTCCAGGAATGGCAAGAAAAAGTGCCTAGGGCAGAACACAGGAGGGGAGGAGTAATCCATGGAGTGGTCCTTAAGGCGCGTTATCTTAGCATAGATCCTTGAATGAGAATCTGATGAGGAACCAGTAGAGATGTCGGAAGGTTCTGAGCAATGAGGGACAGATAAGACTCATATTTTCAAAGGTTCCACAGAACGAAGGAGGGGAAGGGGCAGAAACCCGCCAAGGAGGCCGCTGTACTGCAGGCCAGAGAAGACAATGGCTTGGACCCAGGTGACAGAGGTGGAAAGTGAAAGTGGTGAGAAGTGGTCTGCTTCTGGATATATTCTGCAATTGGAGACAGCCAACCTGATGATAGACTAGACATGAGATACAAAGAAAGAGAGGCGTCAAGATGACTCCAAGGATTTTGAGCTTAGCAACTGCAAAGGCAGAGTTGTCATCTACAGAATGGTGGGGGGAGGGGGGGCATGTTGCAGGGGAACAACGAGTTGGTACCTGTGGTCTGTTTCTGATCCTATCCACAGTTGTCCTGGACACATCTGGAGCTCAGGAGAGAGGCCCAGGCTGGAGATGTAAATTGGGAAGACATCAGCCTGCGGGGGATTTTTAAAGCCTTGAGACCGGATGAGTTCAGGGACTAGAGAAAACTGGGAGGCAAGATGCGAAGCAGCCAGCAAAGGAGATTGAGCAGCCAGTGAGGTCAGAGACCCAGGAGAGCATGGTGTCTTAGAGCCAGGCTACAATCAAGTTCAGACTCTTTAATAAACTTTTAAGAGCAAGCACCTATCATTTTTTTAAGCTGCACAAAAGACAGCAAGGGTGAAACCCAAATACTCTGAGGCCTGAAATGAAAAAAATTGGAGAATTAAGTCAGTTTCATGAGGTCTGGGTCTCTAGAGATAAAATCAGAAAAAGAAATGCTTTATAAGAGGCAGATGAAGGGAAAACAGTTTGCACTAACAGTAAAGATGAGTACTGAGGACACACTGCTTCCTTCATAGAAAAGAGAAGTCCCATCCTAGCAAAAGTGATGTTGAATCCCTACTATGGACTAAGCAGGGCTTCCCTGTGGCTCAGATGGTAAAGTGCCTGTCTGCAATGCGGGGAACATAGGTTCGATCCCTGGGTTGGGAAGATACCCTGGAGAAGAAAATGGCAGCCCACTCCAGTACTCTTGCCTGGAAAATCCCATGGACAGAGGAGCCTGGTATGCTGCAGTCCATGGGGTACTTCACTTTCACTTTCATGGACTAAGCAAATAGAATATTAATTCATGACCAAGTGAAAAACCAGGCATGTATTAAGGATAACACAGCGTTAGCTTCTGTCTCCCCATATTCCTTCTCTACCAAGTAATTATCAATATTCTTTTATAGATAAAGAAACAGCTTAAGAGAGGTGACAACTAAGGAGTAGTAAGGCCTTTTTCTGAAGTTGTTGAGAGCAGCTTCAGGGCCTTCAAAATCCTTTGTTAAAGACAGTAGCTTTTTGGGACTCCCCTGGTGGTCCAGTGGCTAAGCCTCCATGCTCCCAAAGCAGGGGACCCAGGTTCAATCCCTAGTCAGGGAACTAGATCCTACATCCCACAACTAAGACCTGGCACAGCCAAAATAATTAATTAATTAATTTTAAAAAGACAGCAGCTTTTTGGTAACCACCTCAGAAACGTGGGCAGCTGGTCAAGAAACTGCCTGCCATGTGGGAGACCTGGGTTCGATCCCTGGGTTAGGAAGATCCCCTGGAGAAGGAAAAGGCTACCCACTCCAGTATTCTGGCTTGGAGAATTCCATGGACTGTATATAGTCCAAGGAGTCGCAAAGAGTCGGACATGACTGAGCAGCTTTCACTTTCACTTTTTCAGAAATGTGGAAACAAAGCAGTTTGAAAAATTAGTCACCAACCAACCAAGGCAACCCTGGCTACAACAGTTTATACAATGATATTAGTGATAACAACATTAGAGTGTAAGATTTGACAGTGTTGTTATGTACAATACATTATTGTATTAAATCTTCCTGTCACCCCTCTTCCCCCACCCCTACCCCCAGGATCAGGCATTATCTTTTGGAAACTGAGAAAACTGAACTGAGAGAGATTAAATTGATATAGCCCATGGGAGTCAGGACTGACTTTACAGAGTTCTCATCCGTCAGCAGTAGGCTACACTGCTTCCCTGTACTCAGAGTGCCAAGATGTGCCAGCGGCTGGATTCCAAGTGCCTGGCACTCTCCAAGAGGGATTCAAGGTTAAAATACAACTTGATACTTTAAATTGAGAAACTCCCCACAGCAATTTGGCACAGTCTGAATTCAAGGTCACACTTTCCAGTCTTGCCCTGGTTTTAACAACTATGGGGTTTATATCACGGAAAGAATTTTTCTCATTATATCTATATTTTTCTGGCCCACTTTTTTTCTTTGGCAGGCTTCTTTTAGGTGACCGACCAGCCTGAGGATTTCTTAACCCTGGGTTCACTAATTTGGGAAAAAGAAATTCTTCACACAAGTACCCTTGGAATCTCCAACTCCAGGAGGAGAGGCCTTGGGTGCCCCAGGAAGAATCTTGGTGAGGGGTTGAGTCTAGCTCATTAAGACCCCAGGCAAGTCCCTCCCTCCCCCTGCCTCACTGAACCAAGGAGGACAAGGTACGCTAGTAACATCAAGTATTTCCCGACTTGAGTTATGCACATCACCGAATGCAAGAGGCTTATATGTATTATGCAGGCTTACTTTTACCATCATGATCATCATGTATTTATCTTCATGGTTATTAGAAAAACAACAGATCACATGAAACCCACAGTTTTATCAGCATTATTGTTCAGATGAAGGTAAATTTATTTATGAAAACAACGTGAATCTATTTGAAGAAGGCAACTAAATAAATGAGCACAACAGGTGAGCAATAGACACGTGAATGAAGTTTGGCAAATACCAGACTTACATGTCTTTTCAATTCTACAACTGTCAGATTTTAAAATTAGAAAAATAGGTATCTGCACTTTTAACATGAGAGCACTAGGGGGATACAATGTAGTATAATAATATGATAATCCAAGTATTTAAAGTTAGTGATTTTTGTCTTTCTGCTTAAGTTTAAAAAAAGAGCAAACGTTCCAGTTTCTTCTTCAACCATTACTTTTCTAATTAATAAATAACTACCATTTACTAAACACTCACTATTGCCAGGAACTGCAATAAATACTTTTCACCCATGTTCTTGTTTTAAATTCTCACAACCCTTTGGGTTAGGTTGTATTAGCTCTATTTTAAAATAAGGATAGAAGACTCAGAAGTAAGTGACCATCAAAGCCCTACAGCTGATCCATCAGCAGGGCCAGGGTTTACACTGGAAGGCTGTCATTGTCCAAAACGCCTTTTCTCTCAGCCATGATGCAATCCTATCTCACTGACAAGTTTGAGGTCACCTCCACAGCTTGTCTCCCTCCCCTGGATTCTTTTAGCTATCCGAATCTCCCTTCTTTGGGAGTACAGAGTATAAAATACAATCCTGACCTCCCTCACTCATTGCAACAAGAAGGGTGGTCCATAAACCAGCAGCGTCACTGGCAACTTGTTAGAAATGCAGAATCTCAAATCCTACTCCAAACCTACTGAATCAGAATCTTCACTTTAGCAAGATCCCCAAGTGGAATGTATGCATGTTAAAAATGAAAACTGATCTAGAAGAGAGGCGCACTACTCCCAGAGAAAGCAGATGGGAAAAGTAAAAAGCATTTTACAGGCTAAAAGACCACACGGGCAAAGTCTTCGAGGTCAGGTGTACTTGAAACTGGGGCATGGGAAGGATGCTGACCGACTAGAGATGAAGCCATGAGGTTGAAGGATGAAGAGCTTGGAATTCCAGGCATGGGAGCTTAGGGAAACAAAACCACTCAAGGTTCGATTTTAAGCAGGGAAAGACAGAACTGGATGTACATAGAGCCCTCTGGGGAAAATCTTTCTATTCATTAAAGATAGTTTGGATTTTGATAGGAGGTGAGAGACTACTCTAATCCCTGTGTGCACCATAATTAGGGCCTGTCCTGGACAATGACTGGCCACGTGAGAGCTGAGACTCACAGAATGTGGACACTGAGCTTTGGAGACCACTATTTCATAAGAACCCAGACTCAAGGAGACCACACAGCAAGTTGATGAGCTATTTTGTGGGCACAGTGCTAAATCTTGTGGGATGTGTGTGAGTAACTCATATTTCTACTCTCCTCCAAATCCAGTCACCCACATGATATTTACTCTGGATTTCAAGGATCTTACTTTCATTATCTCATTTTATAGATGAGAAAGCTGTTGAGGCAAAGCTGGTAAATGTGGTCGTCAGGATTTGAGCCGATGCTTTTAACCACTAAGTGACACCATTCAGAGTGTAGCCCTACCGCCCTTTCATGACTAGCCATGCCTACCCCCACCCTTCCCATCCTTAGCTCCAACCATTCCAAACAATGTTCCCAAATATCTCCTTTCCATCTTCCCTCCACTGCTG